TGGTTCATTGGAGATAAGAGTCTCATGGGCTTTTCTGCCTGGGCTGGCTTTGAACCACGATCCTCAGATCTCAGCCTCCTGAGTAGCTAGGATTACACGTGTGAGCCACCGGTGATCAGCTCGGTCTTCCTGTTGACATTGCCTCTGCCCCCTCAACCTTGACCTCTGGGCTCTAGACAAGTTCATTAAGAGGTAGTATACACTTATGCACTGGCCTCCCCTCTGGTTGTTACTGCTCTCTCTCTGTTTAGAACACTCTTCCTCCTATATGCTGTCATCTCCTGCTCATTCAAGTCTTTCTTCTGTTCTTCCAGTCACAGTGAGGGCTTTGATCAGCGCCCTGTTTAAACTCTCAAGCCAGGTGCTGGTGGGTCACACTTGTAATCCTAGTTACTCAGGAGGCTGAGATCTGATCTGAGGATTGCCAGCCTGAGCAGGAAAATCTCTGAGACTCTTATCTCCAATTAACCAGCAAAAAGATGGAGGTAGAATTGTGGCTTGAGCAGTTGAGTGCCAGCAAAAAAACAAAAAGGCTCAGAGACAGCCTCAGGCTCTGAATTCAAGCCCGAGGACTGGCACAAACAGCAACAACCAAAAACCCCACTTCAACTCTCAAAGGGCTGGAGGCATGACTCAGCAGGAGAGCACCTCCTTAAGCAAGTGTGAGGCTCTAAGTTCAAATCCCAGTATTGCCAAAAAAAGAAAAATCAAACACCTTCCGTTTCTCTGTCCCCCACTTAGGTTTTTCCCTGTCTGCCCTATATCTATCCTCTGTTTGTACTCTCTGCAGGTCCTGGCTGATTTCTGAAGGCTACACTTCGGGGTCTGGTGACATCTCTCCAGACTGGTCTCCAGAGCATTGTACGCTGCCGGAGGCCCGGGAGCAGACCAGTGCCACCCCTAGCCCAGCCTCAAACTCAACCTGCACGCCCCGCACACTGCGTACACCACGCACATTGCGCACACCGGGCCGCAGCCCTGTGGCTGCAGCCGAAGAGCCTTGGGGCCGAGAGGGACCAGCGCTGTTGCTGCTGTCACGCTTCTCCCAGGCTCCAGACCCGAGTGGAGCACTAGTGACCGGGCCGGCATTATGTGGCCTGCTGGCCTATGTGACAGGTGCACCAGGCCCGCCGAGCCCACGTGCATTGCGCATCCTGGCCCGCCTCACCTGCAACCCTGCCTGCCTTGAGGCCTTTGTGCGCAGCTATGGTGCGGCGCTGCTGCGTGCCTGGCTGGTGCTGGGTGTGGCACCAGATGACTGGCCTTCGCCCCGTTCCCGGACTGTGCGCAGAAGCCAGCACCGAGAACTAGGTACATGCTCCTGTCTCTCTGGCTGTGCAAGAATGGGCATCTTTTTCCTGTGCCTTCCATGGGTCTAGATTCTTGATTTCCTGTTCACCTGGCCTGACTTCCTGTTCACCTTGCCCTCCAGAACACTAAGGAATTCAAGTTACCGGGTGTTGGGTCGGGAACTCTTTTCTGCTCACTAACTCAGCATGCAGAGAGAATTGTTCTTTATCCTTTGTCCAAATCTAGAGTTCTGCCTGTCTGCCTGGTGTGTGTGTGTGTGTGTGTGTGTGTCCTCAGATTTTGTGCTAGTGCTCATTGGAGCCACAGCTCCACTTCTGGCTTTTGGGTGGTTAATTGGAGATAAAAGTCTCACAGACTTTCCTGTCTAAGCTGGCTTTGAACCATGATCCTCAGATCTCAGCCTCCTGAATAGCTAGGATTCTGAGTGTGAGCCACCAGCATCTAGCTGTCTGCATGTTTTTTTTTTACCCACTGTACTCTTGTTCTACATTGTCCTGGCTTCCATTCTGAGTACCTTAACCCAGACACCCTGCCCTTCCAGGCCTTAAACCACGTTAGGCATTTCTGCCCTGTGTTCTTGTCCCCTGCCTACAGTACTGTTTCTACTCCTGGATGGGGTGGGAGGTCCCTGGAGGTGCACCTGACCTTCCTAACTCCAGCTCTTGATCTCTGGTTCCTAGAGTTCTAGCCCCATCCTTCCAGGCCTGGCAGTCACCCCTACTTTCTGGGCCTTTGTTTCTTGCACTGAGGTTCCCCCCCTGCCCCCGCCTTCTTTGCAAAAGTCAAATAGCCTGTGCTCCCCATCCCAGCTCCCAAGCTGACCTGCTCTGACCCCTCGCACAGGTGAGATGCTGCTGCAGAACCTGACCGTACAGGCCGAGTCGCCCTTTGGGGTTGGCGCTCTTACCCACCTGTTGCTGTCTGGGAGCCCTGAGGACCGTGTCGCCTGCGCACTGACCCTGCCCTTCATCTGTCGGTGAGGGGGGTGAGGGTGGCCTTGTGGAGGGGAGGCCAGGCGGGCAAGGTTGATACTCCACCGCCGTCTCTTGGGTTCTGCTGACAGATTCCTTTCCCTTGTAGGAAACCCGCTCTGTGGCGCCGGCTCCTTCTGGACCAGGGTGGCCTCCGTCTCCTACTCATGGCCCTCACTCGGCCAGCCCCACACCCGCTTTTCCTCTTCTTTGCTGCAGACTCCCTTTCCTGCCTACAAGGCCTGGTGTCTCCCGTGATGAGCCCAGTCTCTCCCGCTACAGTCGCCGTGGACCAGGACTCACCCTCCCCTTGCCACTATAAGCCTCTGTTGGGCCCAGCTCCCAACCCGGGGCCTGACCTGCATTTCCTCCTGGACTCCGGCCTCCGGCTCCCTGCTCAGCGCGCTGCCTCGGCCACCGCCTCCCCTTTCTTCCGGGCCCTGCTATCTGGCAGTTTTGCCGAAGCCCAGATGGACCTGGTGCCACTGCGAGGCCTGTCTCCTGGTGCAGCCTGGCCTGTCCTGCATCATTTGCATGGATGTCGGGGCTGTGGGGCTGCCTTGGGGCCCGTGCCCCCACCAGGCCAGCCCCTCTTGGGCTCAGAGGCTGAGGAGGCCCTGGAGGCCGCTGGCCGTTTCTTGCTGCCTGGGCTGGAGGAGGAGCTGGAAGAGGCTGTTGGCCGCATCCATCTAGGTCCCCAGAGTGACCCAGAGTCAGTGGGTGAAGTGTTCCGCCTGGGCCGGCCCCGACTGGCAGTCCACTGTGTGCGCTGGACCCTGGGGCCAGGGCAGTGTCCGAGGAAGCGGGCCCTGGCCCTTGTGGGGCTGGTGGAGGCAGTGGGTGAAGAGGCTGGGCCCCTAATGGAGGCTTTCTTGGCTGTGGTGATGGGGACCGAGTCAGGGGGCAAGGGTCCCACCCTTGATTGTCAGTGTTCCTCTGAAGAGGGCCCTAGAACAGGCTGGTTATGAAACCCATTCAGAAGCTGCATGGATGTCACCTTCAAGGAATGAAAAGAGACAGAACTGGATCCCAGGGTGATAGTCTGAAGACTTTAATACTACAATGTCAAGGCCTCCAGGGTCTGGGCAGGGGGCAGTGGAGAAGAACAGCTCAGGGCTCCAGGTACTTGGCCTAACCCAGCTCTATGGAATTGAAATTAAAACCCTTGGAGTTGGCTGTCCCTGGTGTGTGATGTTTCTGACTTCTTCCCTGTGGGAGTCCTGTCACCTCTTCCCAGCCAGGCAGGGATTTATCCATACAGGGCAGCCTTGGCATGTGAGTTTAATAAGTACTTGTCCATTGGTTCCTGGAGCCCTGGGGGGGGGGAGGGGCGGTGGAGGTCCCAGGCTTCTCCCTTGGGTCCTGGGGGGAAGTCTCCTTCCTACCCACAGCCACTCAGCAGGACACAGCCTTGGTCAGGAATGAGAGGACTACTGAGTGTTAGGGATGTGTAGCTGACGCCTTGCTCTTCTGTCCTGTACCCCTCTGGGGCCATGTTTCTTAATGTTGTAGGTCTGAGGGAGGACTTGATACATTCCTTGGAGGCTCAAAGGGCCTGTCTTAGTCAAATCCAGAGAGAGCCATAGCCCTTGCCAGCCTTCAGGTAAAGGAAGGGCTCACATAGCTTTGATCTCCAAAGCAGGTCTACCTCACCTGGCCTCCTTGATTGCTCAGGTAGCAGCCTGACTTTGAGGAAGAGTCCTGGAACTTGCCAGGGTCTATGTTGGGGAACAAAAGTTGGCACTTGCTGCCACTGTCTTAAAAACTTCTGATGGACTGGGGGATATCCTGGGCTTCAGTAATTAAAAAAAAAAGAGCTTGCCAGGTGACAGTGGCTCACATCTGTAATTCTAGCTACTCAGGAGACTGAGGTCTGAGGATCATGTTTTGAAGCCAGCCCAGGCAGGAAAGTCTGTGAAACTCTTTATCTCCAATTGATCACCAAAAAGCCAGAAGTGGAGCTGTGGCTCAAGTGGTAGAGTGCTAGCCTTAAGGACAAAAACTCAGGGACAGTGCATAGGCCCTGAGTTTGAGCCCTAAGACTGGCACAAAATAAATTAAAAAAGCTGCCCACATTACAGACATTCCTGTTAGGGTCCCACAGCCGAGGGCACAAATCTGTCTACCAGAGTGAGCATATGTCTGTCTCTGCCCATCTCAGAATGTCATGTTTTCACCCTGATTTCTCAGAGTGGTTTGTTACTATGGCTGGATCCCTGTCTGGCTTTCTTCTCTCCTCTCAGTATGTTGAATAAAACTATTATGGAACTCTCTTGGGCTGTCTCAGTGGTGGGGAAAGGCTTTGTTTCCTGGGCTGGCTGGGGTTTGGCTGCCTGGGACTGCTGTCTGCCTGGGGCTTGGGTCTGGGCTTTGCTGTCCTTGTTCTAGTTGTGTGAATGTCCAGATCTTAGAGTGGGTGGGTAGGTTCACCATGTCTGTCCAGTCTGTCTGGGAGAGATGCCTTTGTGTCTACTATGTACTCCCTCTGGGGATTTCTCTCTGGTTGTCTGCCAGGGTCTCCAGCCTACAGGCTTTGAATCTGGGACATGACAATTCCTTGGAACAGTCTCTCCTGTCCCCAACATTAAAAAAAAAAAAAATCAGGGACACTGTCTCTCTCAAGAATGGCCTGGGTGGGACAGGGCTCTGTCTAGGACTGGAGGAGTTTTGTTTTGTTTTTTTTTTGGTGTGGGGGGCGGGGGGCGCTCACAAGCAGGGAGGGGCTCTGGAGCTGGGCCTGGGAAAGCCATAACAGACTCTGGCTCTGGCCTCTTGGGGCTCCTTGCAGCGCAGGCCGGGGTGTGGCCGCCACTGGGCAAGCCAGCAGCAAGCAAGCTAGGTTTGGGGTGGGCCCTGGTACTCTCTTTCTTCCACGCCCCCACCCCCGGGTTCCTTCGTTCATCCCCCACCCCCACCCCACCCCATCCCATCCCAGCGGGTCCCCGCTTCCATACATGGTCACGGCCCGGCTCCCAGCTCCCGGACGTCCCCCGCCCCCGCCCCGCCGGACACGGCCCCCGCCCTGCTCGCCCCGCGCGCAGCCCGCCCGCGCCCCGCCATGGAGGACCTGGGTGAGTGGGGCCCGGCCCGCGGGTCCCCCCAGACCCTCACCACTTCCCCCACGCCTCCCCATCCCGGACTTCGCTCGCCCGCCCCTGCTTCTGTCTCTGCCTCCTCTCCCGAATCCACGTCCCCCCTTCCTGCCTCTCCTTTCCTGCCTTTCCTGGGCTGGCCGTTCCTTCCCTTCGTCTCCTCCATCGCTCCTCCAGCATTGGCTTTGGCAGATGTCCCCCCACCCCCACCCCCCTGGGCGCTTGGGTTCCGAGGCTTTGGGAAGGGAAGGGTTAAAGGGGCCTTAGATCGGGCAATTGGGCTACTAGCCCAAAGTGGAGAGAGTTTATGGCATCAAGTTTTGGGGCTGGGGCGGGAACGACGAGCCTGAGGGCCCAGGGGTGGGGAATGAAAGAGTTAAAAGTTCCTGGTAGAGTGGAAGCCAAGTCCTGGGGGGCAGGAAAGAGACTATAATAAGGAGTGCCAAGATGCCAGGGAGAGGTAACGGGCTCCACCAAGCTGCTCAGAGACAAGAGGTTCTGGGAGAGAAAGGGTTCAAGGCCCTGGGGCGGGGAGGGAGGGGGAGAAAGGAGGCCTAGGCTGAACTTGGACTTGGACAGAAGAGGTTCCGGCGCCCTGCAGCAGGGGGCGCTCGTCAGCAAGGGTACCTGGCGCTGGGACCCTGGGGGAAAGAAGCTAATCAGAAAGCCAAGGGCTGGCAGACTCACCAGGGAGGAATACAGGGTGGGACTCAGTGGGTCTGGGAAGTGGGCCAGGCCTGGCCAGAGCATGTTTATAGAGAGAGGGAGGAATTAGTGAGTGTGGCAGAGACAACATCCAATCAGGAAGCTGGGTGCCAGGCACACAGCCAATTGAGCAATTTGAAGTGGATATAACATTGGCTTCAATAAAGAGCCCATTTCGATTGTATATCGGGAAAGATGGAGTGAATTAAAAAAAAAAAAAGTCAGGTGCCTGGGTTTGGATTTGACTGACTTCCAGAATGAGCCCATGGGGATGTCTGGTCATAAATATTTTCTCGCTATCATCCCACCTCTCTGGGCTTAATTCGGCCCTGTGTTTCTTTAAGCTTCTTGATGTCTCTCTTACGATCTTAGCTTCCGCCCTTTGCACTGGAAACCATGACCCTCTAATCTCTTCAGGCCCTATCTCTGCCCTAAGTCTCACTCCGAGGGCCTCTCCTTGCAGATGCTCTGCTCTCTGACCTGGAGACCACCACCTCACACATGCCAAGGTCAGGGGCTCCAAAAGAGCGCCCCTCAGAGCCACTCACACCTCCCCCACCCTATGGCCACCAGCCGCAGGTGAGATCAGATACTAAGGCTTGGGGCAGCTGTGAAGGCCAGGGTTGGCTTGGGCTAGGGGAATCTGAACCTGGGTGGTGTCACAGTACAGGTGTGTCATTCTAGACACATGTGTCTTCTCTCCATAGACAGGGTCTGGGGAATCTTCGGGAACCTCTGGGGACAAGGACCATCTATACAGGTGAGGGGCTTGGGATGGTTGAAGCTGATTGAGGCTCAAGTGAGAAGGTTTGGAGTCCTCAGTCTGAGTCCAGGCTTTCATCCTGTTTCTCAGTACGGTATGCAAGCCTCGGTCTCCAAAGCCTGCAGCCCCTGCGGCTCCTCCATTCTCCTCTTCCAGTGGTGTCTTGGGCACTGGGCTCTGTGAGCTAGATCGTTTGCTTCAGGAACTGAATGCCACCCAGTTCAACATTACAGGTACCAGGGTTACTAAAATGACAGGCCCAAATAGGGTGGCAGGGGAGAGGGGGGAAGCTGGGAAGGGAAGAGACTAAGGGACACAGACTTCCCAGAAGAGAAGTGAAAACGACACAAAACTTTTAACTGAAAGGATGGATCGAACATGGCCCCATGTCCAGTGCTCTTCTCTTGTCTCTCTAGATGAAATAATGTCTCAGTTCCCATCTAGCAAGGTGACGGCAGGGGAACAGAAGGAGGACCAATCTGAAGACAAGAGCAGCCAGTGAGTTTGGCTTGGCTGGCAGGGCTGGAGAGAGATGCTAGGTTCATGGATGTTACTAGAGGGATTGTTGAGCTGAGATGCTCTGAGACGATACAAGCTGTTTTCTTCCTAAGTCCTCCCAGTCCAGCTCCTGTCCTCCCAAAGCCCTCGGCTACCTCGGCCACAATGGAGCTGGATAGACTGATGGCCTCGCTCTCAGACTTCCGTGTCCAGAATCACGTGAGTCAGGCAGGGTGTGGGCAAGGTGTCAGCTCATGGCTCCTCAACCTATTTTAGATCCCTTCTACATCTTTTGACTTGTTGATTCAATCTTATGTCCTCTCTGCTGTAGCTTCCAGCCTCTGGGCCAAGCCAGCCACCAGTGGTAAACTCCACAAATGAGCGGTCGCCATCTCCACCAGAGCAGACTGGCAAGGGCAGCCTAGATACCATGCTGGGGTTGCTGCAGTCCGACCTTAGCCGCCGTGGTGTTCCTACTCAGGCCAAGGGCCTCTGTGGCTCTTGCAATAAACCTATTGCTGGGCAAGTAAGTGGAGCTTACTTGCTTACCATCTTCACCAACAACCAGGCTTGGCGATATCCTCTTTCAATGAATAACTCTGCAAAGTGGACATGATAATTGTATTTTTATCAATTTTTTTAGCGTGTGTCAGTCTTGGGGCTTGAGGACAGGACCTGGGCTCTGACCTTTTTATGCTCCAGGCTAGTGCTATACCACTTGAACTATAGCTCCACTTCTGGCTTTTTGGTGGTTACTTTGGAAATAAGTGTCTCACAGACTTTCCTGCCTGGGCTGGCTTTGAACTGGGATCCTCAGATCTCAGCCTCCTGAGTAGCTTGGATTACAGGCTTGAGCCATGGGCACCTGCCTAATACTTTTTAAATTAATTTTGTGCGTGTGCACACTGGGAATCAAACACAGAACCTTGGGTATGCTAAGCATAGGCTTTTCCACTGATCTACACCCCCAGCCCACCATTTATATTTTATTTATAAGGAAAATAATGCTCTGAGACACCAGAGCAAGTAAGTAGTAGGGTGCAGATTCCAGCCTTGTTGTGGCCCTACTTTGTGGCACACAGTATTTGCCTTACCATGAGAGCGTTTCAAGTTCTCATTTATTTAGTCTTCAAAAACAAAACCTGTTGGCTGCTTCTCCTGGGTATCACAAAGATTTTTCCCCATTGAGAGGCTGGTCTGGGAGCTTTGGTCCTTGGCTTATGGTCTGAGCAGATGTGATTGATAACAGCTGTGCCCAATGGTTGAGCTAGAACCTTCTGCTAGATAAAGTGCTTGAGCGCCATTCCAGAATTGCCAGTCTCAGCAAAGCATGGTGGTATCATGATTTCCATTAGCTCTAGGTACTTTTTTCTTCATGGGTCCCTTTATTAAAAGAAATTATAGCCGGGTGCTAGTGGCTCATGCCTGTAATCCTAGCTACTCAAGAGGCTGAGATCTGAGGATCATGGTTCAAAGCCAGCCTGGGCAGAAAAGTGACAGAAAAAAAATATTTTGCCAGTCCTGGGCTTGAACTCTAGGCCTGGGCGCTGTCCCTCAGGTCTTCAGCTCAAGGCTAGCGCTCTACCACTTAAGCCACAGTGCCACTTCCAGCGCTGAGGAATCGAACCCAGGGCCTCATACATGCAAGGCAAGCACTCTACCACTGAGCCAACTTCCCAGCCCCCCCCAAAATAAATTATATATGTGTTGGTATGAAATTAAATATACTGATATTAGATATTAAGTCATCTTTTTCTTGTTCATTTTTTTCCCTTCTGACTTTAAGAGAAATTAAAACTTTTCCATATCACCCCTCAACTCCCCAAGAAGTACTGTGTTCCTATGCACTGATCTTCATGGATAAGTCAACAGTAAGGAACAAAGTTGAAAGACCTGAGTTAAATCTCCATAGCCTTCAAAAAAATTTCTATCACACACAGGCTGAGCAATCTGGAACATTACATTTTTTCATTCCTATCTCTCAGAGATAAAAGGCTGGGTGCTGGTGGCTAACACCTATTATCCTAGCTACTCAGATCTGAGGATCAAGGTTTGAAGCCAGCTCAGGCAGAAAAGTCCACATGATTTTTTTCTCCAGTTAACAAGCAAAATGCTGGATGTGGAGGTGTGGCTCAAGTGGCAGAGCACCAGCCTTGAGTGAAAAAGCCAAGCAAAGCTGCAAAGTCCAATACTGGCATCACACACACACACACAAATGTTTTGGGAAAGTGATGTATATAGTCTTAGGGCTGCTCTGACCCAGACCTCCCCCCAACTTGAAGGTAGTGACAGCGTTGGGCCGTGCCTGGCACCCCGAGCACTTTGTTTGTGGTGGCTGTTCCATGACCCTGGGAGGCAGCAGTTTCTTCGAGAAGGATGGAGGCCCCTTCTGCCCTGAGTGCTACTTTGAGCGCTTCTCCCCACGATGTGGTTTCTGCAACCAACCCATCCGACATGTAAGTCCAGCCAAGCCTTTTGGATTCTGCTTCTGACTCTCTCAGATCACCTGTGTGATGGGCGCCATCCACACTGGTCCCACCTACCCACCTCCATCCCAACTCTATCCCTGTTGCTTAGCAACATCCAACGCCCTCAGCTCTCTTTCAATCCCAAATTCCTTGTTAGATCTTCTGCCTTACAGACATATACCTCAGCCCTGTGGCCCAGGTTCCAAGTAGAGGCAAGAGGGAAGAAGGGATAAGAGGGCCACAATGACTGTCCTCTTTTATGTTCTGCAGAAAATGGTTACCGCCCTGGGCACCCACTGGCATCCAGAGCATTTCTGCTGCGTCAGCTGCGGGGAGCCCTTTGGAGATGAGGGTGAGTCCACCACACCCGATAACAACCACAGGTGCACTCTGCATACATTCCCACCTGCCACCTCCCGCTTCTGGACGAGCGTTTTCCCTGTTCCCTTCTGGCCCTGCTCTTCTCCCATTCATCCCATCCCCTCCTGCTTTGCCCAGGTCCCCGACCCCATTGCTCCCTCCCTTCAACTCATGGCCTTCCTGCAGCCTCGATCCTTGCAGCTCCCCAGTCTTGCCTGCGCGCTATTTGTTTTCAGCCCCCTCGGTACCTGTTCCTAGGTTTCCACGAGCGTGAGGGCCGCCCCTACTGTCGCCGGGACTTCCTGCAGCTCTTTGCCCCGCGCTGCCAGGGCTGCCAAGGCCCCATTCTGGATAACTATATCTCAGCGCTCAGCGCGCTCTGGCACCCAGACTGCTTCGTCTGCAGGGTGCGTTCTGGGGGCGTGGTTCTGGAGGGAGGAGTTACAGGGGGCGGAGCCTGAAAGGGAAACAGCGGGGGCGGGGCCTAGGAGGGAGGAGTCACGGAGGGCGGGGCATGGGCGGAGCGAGCATCTTATGCTGAAAGGAGCCTGGAGGCGAGCTTTAGGAGTGTGGCTTGTGGGGGCGTGGTCTGGGGGGGAACTCTCGGGAGGCGTGGCCTCGGAGGGAGGAGTCACGGGGGCGGAGACTCGGGGCGGGGTGTGGGCGGAGCGAGTGTAGTGGGCGGGGCCTCACTCGGGTGCCTCGCTGCAGGAGGGCGGCAGGGTGGTCTCTGGCCTGAGCTTCATCGGCTGACCGGTTCTTTCGCGGCCTCCTTTCCCCAGGAATGCTTCGCGCCTTTCTCCGGAGGCAGCTTTTTCGAGCACGAGGGTCGTCCGCTGTGCGAAAATCATTTCCACGCGCGGCGCGGTTCGCTGTGCGCCACGTGCGGCCTCCCGGTGACCGGCCGCTGCGTGTCGGCCCTGGGCCGCCGCTTCCACCCGGACCACTTCACCTGCACCTTCTGCCTGCGCGCGCTCACCAAGGGCTCCTTCCAGGAGCGCGCCGGCAAGCCCTACTGCCAGCCCTGCTTCCTCAAGCTCTTCGGCTGATCGGCCCGACCCGTATGCGCCAGCCTATGGTCTTGGAGCTCGGGGCTGCAAGACTCACCCCGTGCTTTGTGCGGCCCACCCACTGGGGAGACGCTCCCCTCAGGTACTCCACGTTCTCCAAGGTCAAGTTCAGAAGAGGCCCCGTCCATCCTGACCCTCACACTCCCCCCCCCAAAGTGATCTTCCACAGAAGGGAGGTCCCACACGATTCCCACCCTGGAGGGAGCCCTCCCACACAATAAAAGAGGGGCCCCGCAATTCATTACAACTCATCAGAGACCTGGCCAAGGATGTCCCTACTGCCCGCTCCTGTTTTGTGCACTTTTTTTTTCTACAAACATAAACACACATTCCACAACTCACTGGTGTTGTGTCTTGGTGCAGAAGAACTGGGCCTTCAGACCCCCCCAGACCCTAGCAGTGTCAGCTCTGGCAGGTGGGCACTTGTAGATTCCAACTATCAGGTGAGCCCCAGGTTGAAAGGGGAGTCAGGTTTGCAAGACAGGAGCACAAGCTGGGGCTCCATCCACCAGGCTTCCTGCCTCGGTGTTTCCCTCTGCAGCCCCCAGTGTCCTTGAAACGAGGGTTTCATCTGCAACCCTTGCTCTACCCTCATTTGGTTCTGAGGTTTTACGTTCCCTTTGAATCTCAGAGGTGGGCCCCCTCCAGAAGTGCCCATTTATGCCCACATTTTGGAGCTTGGCACTAATCACAGTTTACATCTTCCTAGCTCCTGAGATTCCAATACTTGTAAATATGGTCCCTTTTCTCTCTCTGTTGTCTTAGCCGGTGAAGTCTGTGTGTTCAGATATTTACTTTCCTTCTTGGGTTGAGTTAGTAATTCCCTGAGGATTTTCCTGACTCAGCCTTGTGCTGGGTGGTACTGGGTCCACAGAGATGAGTCATGGCTTGGCAGTCCTTGTCCTGGAGAGCCCTGGGCAGCTGTTGGAGACGCTCCTGAGGCAGAAGTTAACATTTGGTGTGGCCAGGACAATGGCTGGGGGTTTGGGGGCTGCCAGACTGGAAGTCAAGGGAGGCTTCTTGGAGGAGTTAACACTTCAGTTAAGTCATAACAAAGAAGGGTAGGGCCAGAGACTCAAGTCTGGAGAAGTTCAGGCTCCATCTAAGTCCTCAAAACCCTAGGGACCTTTATGAGGCCCAGAACCTTCATCTTGGACCTGAAGTTCTTTAAGGGAGTGTGTAGGATCCCCGAGTCTAAACTCCAGGATCTCCACAACTCCTTTGGTGTTGAAAATAATGGATCATTCTCAGGCTTGTGTTGATCATTAAAAGCAGCCAAGGATGGGGGTGGATGGACCACAGACAGCAAGAAGCTCTCTGCCTTTGCCTCCCTACCAATCTCATCTTCTCCACCCTATGCTTCCTGACCCATCTTCGTTTTTCTCTCTTCCTGGGGGAATGCTGTCCATCCTGGGTGTAACTGCCTCTGTCTCTCAAGGGTTGGTATATTGGTGATCTCCAGCCTCTACTCATTCATTCACCAGATGTTTGTTGGGTGGCCATCCCCATGCCTTCCTCTTTAGCTCCCTGTAACCTTGAAATAAATGCTTAGCTTGCTCCCCCTCCTGCCCTTTGTTCTGTTCCTAGATTTTTTTTCCCCCTTTTCATCTCAAGGTCAGCTTTTGAAGGAGCCTACAGTAAAGCACCTCTCAAATAAAGCTCATATGCTTTCCCTAAAATACTTTTCAATTTGTGATCTCAAAGATACTCATAGATATTGTCATCTGGGCAGGAGACCCCTGACACAGGAGATGATTTTCTGAATTGCCAATCTGTTCAGTTCTAGAAAGGCAGAGGTGTCCCTATTCAACATCCCTTTCTGTCCCCAGTCCTGTGCTGAGCAATGGGTCTCCAGAGCTTGACCAGATTAGCCCCTGCTCTTGAAGAGTCTTTGTTGGTGAGATAGATACCACAACATGTACGGAATCATAGCAAAAGACTTCCCTCTCTCTTTTTTCCATTACTGGGGTTTAAACTCAGGATCTAATACTTGCTAGGCTGGTGTTCTACTACTTGAGCCTGCCCCCTGTCCTCTTTTGCTGAAAAAAAGTCTTGCCAGCCTTTGACCTTGTTGACAGATGTGTATTACCACTCCCAGCTTATCTGTTGAGACGGGAACGGGGAGTCTCACTAACTCTTCAGCTTGGCCTGGCCTCAAACCTCAATCCTCCTGATACTCTCTTTGGCCCATTCTTGAAGAGGTAACTAGACCAGATACTGAAGGCTAAAGAGGACTGTCAGTTGAGAGATCAGGAAAAAAAGAAAGAATTTATCTGACTCCAGATTTGGTGCAGGAAAACAGAGCAGATAGATGGGCAGGAGCCAAGGCATGGTTGGCCTGGAAGATCAGGATGCTGAGCTTGGATTTCCTCTCTCTGTCTCTCTCTGTCTCTCTCTCTCTCTCTGTGTGTGTGTTTGGCAGTTTAGTTGTGAAGCTTGTACTCAGGGCCTGATCACTGTCCCTGAGCTTTTGTGCTTTAGACTAGTGCTCTAGTGCTTGAGCCATAGCTCCAATTTCCAGCTTTTTGGTGGTTCTTTGGAGATAAGAGTCTCTCACAGACTTTCCTGCCTGGGCTGACTACAAACAGTGATCCTCAGATCTCAGCCTTCTGAGGGGCTGGGATTATAGGTATAAGTCACAGGTGCCCAGCTAGATTTCTTTTTGAGTTTTCTGGTGAGTGAGCTATGGAGGATTTCTGAGCAATGGAGTGACACTGTCAGATTTGCCTTTGAAAACCATCTCTGGCTCAGCCAGGCTCCCTAATCTAGTCTGAAGAGAATACGTAGGGAATGAATGAGTTGATTTTGAGTTTGGGACCTTGTGGAGAGAATGGAGACTAATGTCAAAGAAGGAGTGATCCTGATCCTAGAGGGCCCAGCACCCCAGAACCAGCCTTCGGCCTTGATATGACCTGATTCAGCTAAATAAAGCTGGGGATAGGGGGAACGGGACCTGGGGGACTTGTCGGCTCACTGCCCCTGAGGTAACCATTAATCCTTCCTCCGGGGGAAGTCAGGGAGCTGGTCCTTTGAGGGGCAGATTGTGGGCAGAATGGAAGACCGCACCAAGGCAGGCTCTGAAGCAGGGCTAGGGGACCAGAAAGCCCTCATTGACAACCTTGCCGACATCTTGGTCATTGCCGCCTACTTCCTTCTGGTCATTGGTGTTGGCTTGTGGGTGAGAATTTGCGGGGCTTTGACTAGGGGCTGGCTTGGGCTTCTGGGGCCTAGAGGGGAAGAAAACAATCTTTGACAAGTCCCAGAGAGGGGTAGGGGAAGGATGCTTGGATTTCTCAAGGAGAATCCCAGGATTGAAGAAAAAAAGCAGATCTCTTTAGGGCTTCAGAGAGGCCCAATGAACATGAATTCCTTTGGATTTTGTTGATTGGGGGTCGGGGGTGGGTGGGCAGTGGTTTTCATTAAACTCAGCCTTATAGATGAAGTCTCTGTTCACATTACTTCCACTAGCAGTAACTAGCCAAGGACTGATTCTGAGTTCACCCTCTCTCAGGCTCGAGTAGTTGGATGCTAGGATGAGCGCCTAGGTGACTCTGGCTGAAGGGAGAAGATTGGGGGTTGGGGTGTAATCAGGGGAGTCGACTGCTGGTTAATCTTCAGCCTGAAACAAGGCTGAGGAATGTGTTGAGGAAGCTAATGAAGTCCAAAGATGTGCCCCCGAACCCAAGCTCTCCAAACCCCCACCCCCCACTTCTCTCCCCTAGTCTATGTGCAGAACCAATAGAGATACTGTTGGTGGCTACTTCCTGGCAGGACGAAGCATGGTGTGGTGGCCGGTGAGAAGGGCTTGGGCCCATGGAGTGGGAGGGGCTCTAGAGGACTGAGCCCAACTCACCCCCCCCATTTCTGGACCACCCAGGTTGGAGCATCTCTCTTCGCCAGCAACATTGGCAGTGGCCACTTTGTGGGCCTGGCAGGGACTGGTGCAGCAAATGGCTTGGCGGTGGCTGGATTTGAGTGGAATGTAAGGCCTTTTATAAAATCAACAATCACCCCACCCCCAGTGGGAACCCCTAGGAAGGTCACACACTGGAAAAGCTCCTTGCAGAGGGGATATGAGATTAGAGTTGGGGTATACCAGTTGTAGAAAGACTGGGCTGGAGTGGAGCCCCAGCTTGGAGGCAGAAGGAGGTGCCGAGTTTCAGGAATAGGATAGGTCCTGTTTCTGATTGCTTTGTGAATTGGCACCACCAGCTAGTACCTCCCCCCTGTGAGCTGTGGTGTACTCCTCTCTGACATGGGGCAGGCAGCTCAAAGATGGAGTAGTTCCTATTTTGGTGCTTTCCAAAGTTGTGTCTATGAGGATCTCTTAATCAATTATAGCACAGGAGGACACAGCTTGGGATGAGGCTCACCTAGGAAGGGGTGTGTGTGTGTGTGTGTGTGTGTGTGTGTGTGTGTGTGCATGTGTGGTTGTGTGTTTGCCAGTATGAGATTTGAACTCAGGGTCCAGGAGCTGTCTCTTAACTTTGAGGCTAACGCTTTACCAGTTGAGCCACAGCTCCACTTCTAGTGGTTTGGTGGTTAATTGGAGATAAGAGTCTCACAGACTTTTCTCAGATCTCAGCCTCCTGAGTCAGCTAGGATTACAGGCACTGTCAGAGGGTTTTGAGCACAGGGCTTGCTGGAAGAGAAGGCCTTTGAGGGACTACAGGTTTGTGTGGAGAAGAGAGAGAGGCGGCTCTGGCTGACAGAGGCTGACATCCTTGCTAGAAACAAGTGCTCAAGAGGGGCCGGGGTCCATGGAAGGATAAAAGCTCTAGTTAAGGGCCTAAGAGAATGTCAAGGTGCTCAGGCTTATCTCTTGCAAATGTCCTCTGGGCTCAGATTCGAACTTCCCAGAACCACTTGCTCTAACATCGCACGGTTCATAGCCAAGATTTCTGATCCTTTGGGGGTGAGGACAGACTCCTGGTGGGCTGTACATGGTCACGCTGTTTCCAACAGGCGCTGTTTGTAGTGCTGCTGCTCGGCTGGCTCTTTGTGCCTGTGTACCTGACCGCAGGGGTCATCACCATGCCGCAGTACCTGCGCAAGCGCTTTGGAGGCCATCGCATCCGCCTCTACCTGTCTGTGCTCTCCCTCTTTCTGTACATCTTCACCAAGATCTCGGTGCGCATGTGCGGGGAGGTGGGGGGGGATGGGTGGGCTCCAAGAAGGGTGGGGCAGGAGAGTACAGTGGAGGGAGGTCTTCCTGAGAAATTGTTCTACCAATCCGACGGGAGACGTGGGCACAGTGGGTGAGACCTGGGAAGGTGAATGGTGTTTGCACTTTTGAAGTGTGACCAGGTAAGTTGATTGCCTGGCTAGGATTTGGACCTGGATCACTGTCCCTTGACCCTGGGCCCTGACCTTTGTGCCCCTGCCTTTTTCCCCCACAAGGTGGACATGTTCTCGGGGGCAGTATTCATTCAGCAGGCCCTGGGTTGGAACATCTATGCTTCTGTCATTGCGCTCCTGGGCATCACCATGATTTACACTGTGACAGGTGGGCCCAGCACCAGTGTGGTATGGGGGACTGGTCTGGGCTGGTATTGAAAGCGATGGTTTCATTTAGGGCTGCTACATGGGGTGGTCAAGTTTGGAAGTGTGGGGTCAACTGAGCTTGAACTCTGGGCCTGGGTGCTGTCCCTAAGCTTTTTTGCTCAAGGCTTGTGCTCTACCATTTTGAGCTATAGTGCTTCACTATCCATACCTCCCACAACCGCACTCTCTCTCCCTACTGTCTTCCTATGCAGAAGCCTAGGTGCCCATCTTGTGCTGGGCTTCAGGGTGGGAAACAGGGAGAAATGGGAAAAAGAATGGACTTGGCCAGTCTGTAAGATCTCTGTTCAAACCCAGTATAGCTCCAAGGCCCTCAGGGTGAGCCCCAGAGAACATGTCCAACAGTATTGGTGAGCTTGTTGCCAAGATGGCCTCCAGGATGGAGACTTGAACCCCTGAGAATCATCTGTCCAAGTCAGATGTAGGGGCCCCACAGTGGGGGGAGATCCTGCTGGTGTGTCTGCCAAGAGGGCACCATAGAGGTTAAAATTCAGGCTCCATTCTGCTCTCCTAGGCCTTTGCTTCTTGCTGCCCAAGGGTATAAATGGATCTCCATTTAACAATCTGCTCTCTGAGGTGGGGTATTTTTCACTATGCTGGGGATCAGGAACTGGGGCTGTTTCCATTGACTCAGGCCTGTTGCAGGGGGGCTGGCGGCGCTGATGTACACTGACACCGTGCAGACCTTCGTCATTCTTGCGGGGGCCTTCATCCTCACCGGTTATGGTAGGGGGCTGGGCCAGTGGAGGAGGGGCATGATCATCTCTGGCAGGGGAGGCCCGGGCCTTAGCACTGATGCTGGGTCCTCTCTTGACAACCTTGCCCACACAGCTTTCCACGAGGTGGGCGGGTACTCTGGGCTCTTCGACAAATACCTGGGAGCAGTGACTTCACTCACCGTGTCCGAGGATCCGGTTGTGGGCAACATCTCCAGCTCCTGCTATCGGCCAAGGCCTGACTCATACCACCTGCTTCGGGACCCTGTGACAGGGGATCTGCCGTGGCCCGCACTGCTCCTGGGGCTCACCATTGTCTCGGGCTGGTATTGGTGTAGTGACCAGGTATGCAGCCAGGGCTGGGGGTCCTCCCTCCCTGGATGGAGCAGAGATGAGCTGACCACCAATCTTCCAAAGTGTGGTCAGACGGTGTGGAACCCGGTGAGGGTGGGGCTTAAACACATGGAGCTAGTACCTGGTGGTGGAAATATACAAGACGCACTGCAGAGCCAGAGGATGGACAACCACTGGAGTGGGGATGGGAAGGGGTGGCCAGGCCTGAGCGGGAGGGGTCGGTCTGCACATGGCTCCCCCAGTAGTAGGTTGCCCATCACAGGTCATCGTGCAACGCTGCCTGGCTGGAAAGAACCTGACGCACATCAAGGCAGGTTGCATCTTGTGCGGCTACCTGAAGCTCACACCCATGTTCCTCATGGTCATGCCTGGGATGATCAGCCGCATCCTTTACCCAGGTAAAGTCGGCCTCAGTCTGGCCCCTTGTCCCCCTCACAGACCTTCCAGAATTTGGTACTTGCCCCCCCTTTCCCTCCAGGGGTCCCATTGTTCTCCTTCTGGGGTTACCCACCAACCCTAATTCCCAGACCCAGCTGTCCTAGCTGCCTTTGGGTTGCTTTCTTGTAGATGAAGTGGCATGCGTGGTGCCTGAGGTGTGTAAGCAGGTGTGTGGCACGGAGGTGGGCTGCTCCAACATCGCCTACCCGAGGCTCGTGGTGAAGCTCATGCCGAATGGTGAGGGCGGGTCCACACCCTGCTGGGCTGGGCAGCTGCAGACTGCCAATGGAGGGGTCACCCTTGCAATGCCCACACCTGCCTGGCACCCCCTCCCTCCTCCAGGGGAGGAGGGCTGCAGCCTCACGGCTCCCGTTGGCCACAGGTCTGCGTGGACTCATGCTGGCTGTCATGCTGGCGGCGCTCATGTCCTCACTGGCCTCCATCTTTAATAGCAGCAGCACGCTTTTCACCATGGACATCTACACGCGCCTGCGGCCTCGTGCGAGCGATGCGGAGCTGCTGGTAGTTGGCAGGTGTGCCCCAGGCCTCCATCCTGCTCCACCAAAGAACCTGGGTAGGAGCTGGGCGCTGGTGGCTTGCACCTGCAATCCTAGCTACTCAGGAGGCTGAGATCTGAGGATTGCAGTTTGAAGCCAGCTTTGGCAGAAAAGTCCCCATGAGACTCTTATAGACAAGTACCCGTCAAAAAACTGGAAGTAGAGCTGTGGCTCAAAGTAGTAGAGCCCTAGTCTTGAGCAAAAGAGCTCAGGGACAGCGCCCAAGCCCTGAGTTCAAGCCCCATAATTGACAAAAAACCAAAACTAAAACCAAAGCCAAAAGAACTTGGGTAAGAGCCAGGGCCAAGTGCCTCATGCCAGTAATGCTAGCCATTCAGGAGATCTGAAGATTGTGGCTTGAAGCCAGCCTGGGAAGGAAAAGTCCCTGAGACTCATCTCTGATTAAGCACAAAAAAGCCAGAAGTGGAGCTGAGGCTCAAGTGGTAGAGTGCTAGCCTTACCTCTTAGCCAAAAAACTAAGTGACAGTGCCCAGTCTCTTGAGTTCAAACCGTAGTCCTGGTACTCAAACACACAGGAGCCTGAGGAAGGGCATCGATCATTGGATAGAAAACCTCTTGTTCTCCAAACCACAGGCTCTGGGTGGTGTTCATCGTAGCAGTGTCAGTGGCCTGGCTCCCAGTTGTTCAGGCTGCCCAGGGCGGCCAGCTGTTTGATTACATCCAATCGGTCTCCAGCTACTTGGCACCGCCCGTGTCAGCTGTGTTTGTGCTTGCGCTCTTTGTGCCCCGAGTTAATGAAAAGGTGAGCAGGGTGGGTATTTGCAAGCTTGGTCCCAGGCTCCAGCATCCTGAGCAGGCTGACACCATTTCCCCTGCAGGGTGCCTTCTGGGGACTAATTGGGGGCCTGGTGATGGGCCTAGCTCGCCTCATTCCCGAGTTCTCCTTCGGTTCGGGTAGCTGTGTGAAGCCCTCAGCGTGCCCTGCACTCCTCTGCCGGGTCCACTACCTCTACTTTGCCATCATCCTCTTCATCTGCTCTGGCCTCCTCATCCTCATCATCTCCTTGTGTACTGCACCCATCCCACAAAAGCACGTAAGTGCTGACCTCTGGATGGGCAGTCTGGGTGAGCGGGCATGGACTGCACCAACTGCCTCTGCCGCCCTGCTTCAAGGCATGTGCAGTGAGCCTGAAAGTCTGTATTTGAGGGTGGGTAGGAGCAGGTCAGGGGTCTCTCTTGAAGCTGCATTTACACAGCAAGGACATTTTTTTTATTTAAATGACATTTGTTTGAAATGGTTTAGGAGGAGATACATGGAATGTTTTAGAGGGTAGGTGATGAATGCCCCCCAAAATCAGCTCTTGGCATGGTCTCTGGAACTCAAATCATAGGCTGCCCTGGCTGGCGAAGTCTGGGTGAGCTGGGTCAGGCTGGGTGTACAGACTGGATGCGGGGCAGCTTAGGAGGGAATGGACAGAGCTGGCGTGCCCATGGAAACTGAGGGGCCTGTGGTGTGGGGCGGGACAGCAGAACTCCCACTTGGCCCCTGCTCCCACCCCTTCCCAGCTCCACCGCCTGGTTTTCAGTCTCCGGCACAGCAAGGAGGAGCGGGAGGACCTGGATGCTGATGAGCCCCAAGGCCCAGCTTCTCCTCCTGTACAGAACGGATGCCCAGAGCATGCCGTGGAGATGGAGGGTAAGGTGCTGCCCAAGCAGGGGGCCCGGGAAGTCCCGGAGCCCACTCCCTCCAGACTAACTGCTGGCCTTGGTTTCTCTCAGAGCCGCAGTTGCCAGCCCCAGGCCCCTTCCGCCGGTGCCTGCTCTGGTTCTGTGGCATGAGCAAGGGTGGGGCAGGGGGCCCTCCACCCCCGACGGAGGAGGAGGTGGCGGCAGCAGCCAGGCGGCTGGAGGACATCAGTGAGGACCCTAGATGGGCTCGTGTGGTCAACCTCAACGCCCTGCTCATGATGACAGTGGCCGTGTTCCTCTGGGGATTTTATGCATGAGTTCAAATGTGTTGGACACCATGAACCACACAAGCAGGGCATTAAAAAGGCTGTGCCTTGTAAAATGTGGGGATGTGAGGCAGCTGGCAGTGGTTCCCAGAAAAGGGGAAGGGGCAGAGGAAGGGTGGGAAGGCCCCAGGTTCCCTTCTGTCTGCCTGGGGTCCAATCCAGCTCATTGGCAGTCACTTCTCATGAGGTGAGTGGCCAACTGGCCACAGTAATGTGCATGAGCAAAAATAAAGTTGTCTTTCCTTCATCCTGCTGTGGCCATGGACTGCTCACAAGACCTTCTTTTCCAGAGATGGGAGCCATGTGGCCCTCCACTCATCCACCTCCAGGTGGTGCTTCTCAGTCTTCCAGCCTGCAGCCTGCAATCCTGGGGAGAGGGCAAGGGGTGTCTGATGCTACACAAGAGCCTGGGCTAGCAGGAGTAGGGGTGAATTGGGGTAGGTATGCAGTGGTACAGGCTGGAGGAAGGGAGTGGGGCCCTTCTTGGCTCCTCTGCTGGGTAATCTCTGACAAAATGTAAGGTTGAAACCTCATCTGGTTGCAGCCAAAATCTAGAGATTGCACATGGAAAGGGGGTGGAGTAGAGTAACATGAAAGGTCATTTTCAAACTGGGAGCTAGTGGCTCACGCCTGTAATACTAGCTACTTAGAAGCTTGAGATCTGAAGATTGTGGTTGGGAGCCAGCCCAATCAGGAAAGTCAGTTGAGACGCTTATCGCCCTTGAGCCAGCAAAAAGCCATAAGTGGACCTGTGACTCAAGTGGTAGAACACCAGCTTTGAGAGATAAAGCTAAGGGATAGTGCCCAGGCTCTGAGTTCAAGCTGAGTATCAGCACAAAAGGGGAAGGGAGAGGTCATTCTTAGTAACTCGAACTCCTAAATGCTAACTTGGATTACGTATCAAAGCTAACATAGCTTCAAGAGATCAGTCTAACTTCCTTAATCTATACAGGAAAACAGTCCCAGATTTCATCCAGGTCACTCATCTCCCAGGTGAAAGCACAGAATAAAGACAGGGCTGCAGCCTGAAGGGCTCAGGGCTGTGAAGTTGTAGGGTTGATGTTACCTTTCAAAAACTCTGGGAATAGCTTGTCCAGCACTTGGTATGTCTCCCTGACAATGGCACCGCCATCTTTCTCAGGACCTGTCAGGGGTGGGTGCAGAATCAGCTCTGGTGTCTTCAGTGGGACAGCCAGCTCATCTTCCCTCCACCCCACAGTGTGGACATGAGGCTCTTACCTGCCTGAACTTGACTTCTCAGCTCCTCCAGCTCTCCTGGAAGGGGTCCATCTTCCTGCAGAGCTCCAAGCACCAAACCATGTGTAGCAGCCCTTAGGACAGTCTCAGGGCCTGCCATCTGGCTCAGAACCACCTGTACCTGGTCTGGAGAGACCCGAGGGCAGATAAATCGCAGGGAAGACCCGTGTCCTCAATACTCAGTCCTTGCACTCTGCTTTACCTATCTGCCCCAAGGCCTTAGTGAGGAATACAAGGTCCTTTCCCCATTTCTCCTTTCCAGCTTCTCCTGTTGCTTCTCATCTCTCTAGCCAAACTGAAATATTCAATTTCTAAATATAACTTTCTACCAGCTCACGGCAGAGGGCTTCTGCTGGTGAGAATGAACGCCTTTCAACATGCCAATGGCAAAACAACTCAGGATGGGAGAGCAGAGTCCCCCCCCACTGACAGCCAACCTCAGTGTAATTTGAATGTGTCGCAATGGAGAGTGTTTGCACACAATCCCAGGACAATATCTCAGGTAATAAGGCAGCTATTGTGAAGGTGCAGTGAATTTCACTGGGGCAGGCAGCTTGTAACTTGGGTGGGTCAGTGTAGTCTACAGCAGTCTCCAAACTGTCCCCTGAACTTGGGCCCTGGAGCTGGAGGGGGTCTCAGGCTGGGAGAATGTGGATATACTCACGTCGTGATGGAGTCCAGCGAAGGAGGTAGGGCTCCTGGTGCCCTTCTACCAGCTGCTGCAGCTCAGACACACTGGCAGGGAGAAGATTGCAGTGGGCAGGGGAAACAAGGCAGAAGGACCCACCTGGCCAAGCTGTTAATCCTAACTGTTCACATACCCCAGCGGTTCCTTAGACATTGCGGGAACCCCCACATCCATCCTTCCCTTCTTCCTATATACAGTCATCCATGACCACCCACCAACCTTCCTTCATCCAACCCCTTACTTGTGCTCTGCATTTGATGCCCCCTGCATCCCTCAAGTACTTATGCTGTCCCCCAAGTCTGTATCTCAATTAGGGAGATGGGGGTTGGTGAGGGGGGCCACTAAGGGAGGCAGGAAGGAGTGGGAGGCTCTGGGCCACTCACCTGGAAACCAAGCAATGTAAGGGAACCCCCAGGGACAGAGACAGAGATGGCCCGAAACCTGTGGGAGGCTGGAGTCAGGAGGCCCAGGCATGGAGAAATTGAGGAGATACAGGACATAAGACACAGGACATGACACCAAGGGGCTGGGTCACCTGTCCACAGTGGCTCCATCTGATTGGCTGAAGCTGGGTCAAGTATCTCTCCCTTCTGAAGGAAGTGCTTCAGGACCAGCCGGAGCCGGTTTTCATTCAAGGTCTCCATGACAAGGGCCCGGACTGCCCGGTAGTTGGCATAGATGTGGAGAGCCGTGAGGAGGAAGAAACATCCGAGGCTGAGGCTGGGACAAGACAGTAGGTGGCCAGGGAAGAGGCCCAGCTGGTGGCCTCTTCACCCGCCATGCTCCTGGGCTTACCTAGGGCAACCCGACACCAGAGGTAGCATCAACAGGCTCACCAGGAGTCCTGCTAGGTTCACCAGTGTCTCCTAGAAAATGGCACACAGGTCCAGAGTTGGAGGGCTCCCCTCCAGAACTTTCCAGATGCTTCCTATCTGATGGGATGTTAAATAACTTTTAGTGTTTTAGGTGAGTGAGCTGCCATTAAAAGACTACTATATCTTCCTTTGCCTAGGAAGACATAGCTCCTTAGGACAAGTCTTGTTTGGCTTGCAAAAGGGACCAGGGAAGCCCATACTCAGAACTCCATGTGGGGAGCTAGTTTTCAACAATGGTTCAAACAGGGACCTGTCTCCTATCTCTTGGTACTCATTAACTGGCAAACAACTGCAAGGGGGGCCTAGGAACCACCTGGGAGGAAAAGCAACAGACCCAAACCTCTTCCTGTGTGAATCAATGCCACTGCAACCCTCTGATGACCAGACTGGGTAGGCTATGGGAATCAAGGCAAGAATCAAGGGCCTCAGGAGCTCAGGAGGAAAGTCATCCTGGCCAGGCTGCCCTGTGTCTGCCTCACTGGGGAAGCCCTGGGGCTTTGGGACCCAAAACTGGAAAGAATGGGGTCTGTGTGTATGTGTGGGTGTTGGTGGTGGGAGGGTATGGGGAACAGGGCTGACACCAGTGAGAGGGGACGCTAAAGATAAGGGCCTGGATTATACGTATTACTCCTACTTTTGCAAACTGTAAATTTCAGGTTGGAAGAGACCTTGGGACAGAAGTAGTTTTGGAGAGAAGGCACATGCCTGAGGCACCCGGGTGGCCTGGGCTTCTCCGTGCTTTAGATCTCCTGTCACGCTGTAAGCACTGGATGAGCTCACAGAAATACTTGGCATGAGGTCACATGCTTGACCAATATTTGCTTCGTTATTATTATTATTAAGAAAGAATAAAAGAAGACTGGAAGGCAGGACTGGCTAGGATAGAGGATTTGAAGCTGCTTTAGTGTCAGAGAAAACCTCCCATTCCCAGGGCCTCACTCTCATCTCTAAAGCATCTCAGTACCTGACAGGGTTAGGGTGAGTTACAGGTGTCTCTCTCACAAGCACTCAGCACAGGGGTTTGGGGAGTGGTTACTGCACAGTTCAGTCTTAGAGATGTCCTGTTCCAGGCTTGTTGGGTCAGGTGGAGGGGCGAGGCACAAGGCCTGCTACACTGGTAAGTGGAGGCCTCTGGCCAGTGACCCACAGCCAAGTACCATGCACCTGCCCACAAGGGTCTCATGTGGTCGGAGTCCTCAGCCCCCAGGGTAGGGCTATGGCCTACAGAGCCTTTTCTGGGCCATCCTAGCAATGGGAAGGGGGTGACATGGATTTTCTGCCACCAGAACCATGCCAATAGACCTGACCTTATATCCTGGAGGTCACAGCAGGGGACACTTATGCTTCTTTCTGCCCTTTCCCAGGGGCATTTAAGGTATTTTCCTTCATATCCCTCATTGTGGGCTGTCCTGTCCCCTCCTCCCCACTTCTCCGCTCTTACATACCATCCTTGGTCCCAGCTGCTTACCTGGCTGCTGTCCTTGGCCGACACATCAGCCATGTTGTTTCTCCGGGCCTGGTGCACAGTCAGCGCAGCCCTTGTGGCCCCACCAGCCACACTCACAATGCACTGTGGGGAGAGAGGGAGGGTGAGGGTGGGTGGGCCATGTGCTATAGCAATACAAGCCCTGGAAATCTCTCCCTGGGATCTCTGGTGGGAAAGATCATCTATGAGGGTCACTCATTGCTATGTGCATGTAGTTTTCATCAAGCCTCTTTCAGATGCTTGACAGGTTAGGGTGTGGTAATACAAGTCAGACAGGGGCCCTGCCCTCATAAAGTTTATGGACATGGGGAGGAACTAGCTCGCTCAAAGTCAAGAGGAAAGTGATATAAAATGAGGCTGGAGTGATTGGCATGTCCTGTCCATGTGCAGACTTGATAAGATCTTTGTGTGTGTCTGTGCTGGTATAGGGGCTAGAACTCAAGGCCTAGGTGTTGTCCCTTAGCTTTTTTCATTCCATGCTAGCACTCTCCCATTTGAGCTACACCTCCACTTCCAGCTTTTTGGTGGTTAATGGGAGGTAAGTCTCACAGACTCTCCTGACTGGGTTAGCTTCGAACTGTGATCCTCAGATCTCAGCATCCTGAGTAGCTAGGATCATAGTCTGAGTTGGGATACTTGTAGCTGCCATTCCATAAGTACCTGTGTGGCGTCCTTTCACAGATGGGAGAGGGGAACTGTGTTCTATCCAAACATGTTCTTTTTCTCAAAGTCTGAGACCTAGCTAGAAAGCTAGTCCCCAAATGTGGACACAGGACTCACACCACCCTCTCCATCCATGACAGCAGGCACACTGCTGAGGGCTGGCTGAGGCCTCAGAGATACACCTAAACTTTCCCATTCCTTTAGAAGTGCCCTGAGTGTGGGGCCCAGGGGTGCATACACAGCACCATCAGTGCAAGTATCTCAGCATGGGGTGCTCTAGAGGTGGGTACCTTGGCTAGGTTGCTGGTGCTGACAGTCATTGTGAAGCAGATTGGGTAGATGGGAGCCATAATCTCCAGGAACATGGCTATATCATTGAGGATGTCAGCAAAGAGCCTGGGGAAGAACCAGAGGTTAGAGGTCAGAGACAAGAGATTTTTACAACACAGAGCTGTCCTCCCCTCCCTTCATCCCGGCCTCTGCTCACCTCCACTGCTTTGCATTACAGTCCAATTTGCTCCTGTGGGGACAAGAGCTTGTTATAATTTAGACTGAAGGCACTGTGTGGGGAAAGACACATAACTCCAGCCAGACACCTGTCCTCATACCCTGTCACTGCCTGAAATGCGACCACTGGCTGGGAGGATGCAGTGACCCTTGAGTGTTTTGCGTGTTTCCCCCTTACTAATACACAACTTACTAAACCAATGTTTGATGGCTGCTCCCTATGCTCTGGTACTCTACTCCTGGGTTGCGCTAGCTTCTCCTATTTCATTGAGGGTTCCCAGCAAAAAAGTTCATAGTCTTGGGACAGACAAACTTAACTCTAAACTGGGTATAACCCCACACATTACAGATAACCAGGCAAGGCTCCCTGGCTCCTGTGGACAGTGGGGTGCGGGAGGCCAAGACAAAGAGCTGGGCCCCAACACTCAGGCGTGGGATAGTCAGCTACACAACCCTGCAGATAGCCACTTCTGTCTTGTGCCAGGTAGCAATTTCCAGGTCAAGGGGCTTGGGCAAGTAAATTCTCCTCTTTTTGGTGTGCTTCACAACTTTAAAATGTACAGTCAATCCCACCCTGTAAAACTGTGGCAGTGGTTAGACACAGTATAGAATGCTGTGGAACACAGCTGGAGCTCGTTTATTGAGTATTTACTACCATGTAACACAGTAAGCAAGCTGCCAACTCTCTCAGTGAACTTGGGTGGTTACAATGAAATGTGGATATACACACACATTATTAGTTGTGGGCTTAAACTCAGGGTCTGGAAGCTGTTTCTAAGCTCTTTGGCTCAAGGGTAGTGCCCTACCACTGTATGTGGCTCAAAGTTTTTGAGTGGTTAACTGGAGATGAGTTCCATGGGGACTTGTCTGCTCCAGCTGGCTTCAAACCACAATCCTCAGATCTCAGCCTCCTGAGTAGCTAGGATTATAAGCATGAGCCACCAGCATCCCATGCCGATAATAGTTTTTAAATCATTCCTATGGGCATACTGCCAGAAGCTGGCAGATGGGAAGACTCACCCCTTCCACCAAGCAAAGACGATGCGGCCCAGCATGCCAGCTGAATCTGTAGAAGAGAAGGTCCTGGTAAGGACAAGAGAGACAGTGCCTGGCAGACCCTAGCACTGAGCTCTGCTCTTGGGCACTCAGGCCTCCTATGAGACATGCTTAACCAAGCTGGACTCAAGGGAGATGACTAAGAACTTAGCTAGACACCTGGAATACCTTTTCCTTCTGATTTTCAGTCTCAAGAGGGACTGTTTTCTTTCATATACAAGTCAGCTGAATCTCAGAGACAAGAGATGGATAAAATGGGGACATCTGTAAGAAAATTGGAACCTCCAGCTTTTTGGGAAGACTAGGGGGATGTGGCAACACTGGGTTTGCCTTACCTCACCATCATCACTAAAAGGAGCATGTATACAACAAGCCCCCAGACAGCCAGCTCTCCTCCATCTCTATCCTGTGAGGTCCTGGGGCTTTATAGGCCCACTTCCTGTCACTCACCTAACCTCTTCCCTCCATGCACATTATATTCTAAATAAAGTTCTCATTGCTTTACTTAGCAGATCAACTAGTGACTTTAAACACATGAAGATTGCTTTTACTGCTTAGTGGGAGCCCACTGGACCAGACTCCATTATTCTTGCCTTTCGTGGCACACTTATATAGCCAACCAGATGTGTTGGGGCTACCTGTGGATCTTTGAGGCAGTGTGCAGGGCCCTTGTGAGAATCTGGAGGTTGACACTAGGCTGCACTGACACATACCCTCTACTATCTCAAAGTTGCATTGCCCATCAGAATAGGAAACAATTCCTCTGTCACACAATGATCAAAGAGTAGGACCTACAAACTTTTGAATCTTACTAACAAATCAGCTAGCTACAAATTATATTCAGTGCCAGAGTGTGGTAGGTAAGGGTGGATAGGGAGGATGTTTGTGGTAGCTACATGGTAGGTGCATATTGTGACATTTGAGTTTGAGGCCAGACCAGGAAAAAAGTTTGCAAGATCACATCTTAACAAGCAAGCCAGATGTGGTGATTCTTCCTCTTTAATCCCAGTTACATAGCAGTTAATAGAAAGATCTTGATCTGATGCCAGTTGGGCACCATGTATGAGACCCCCCTTTGATAAATAAATGATGGCTGGAGGTGTGGCTCAAGTGGTAGTGAACCTCTACTTCCAAGCTTTTTGCTGATTAATTAGAATTAAGAGTCTCAGGGATTTTCCTGCCTGTGCTGGCTTCAAAGTATAATCCTCAGATCTCAGCCTCCTAAGTAGCTAGGATTACAGGTATTAGCTATGCAAATTTTCAAAAAAGCTGCATATACTCAGCGAATGGTCGCTATGCTTATTTATAGCATCATTACAATTCCGGATGCAGACTCTCTGTATGTGGATACAGTCATTTTTCATGGCCTCCAGAACCTCCTTTCTCCTCCTCAGGACCAACTCCATCCTCGAATTCCCTGCAACCTAATCATCTGGCTAACAGTTTTAGCTCATAAACTTGCACAAAATTTCTAATCTAAGGATGGGCTGAGGAGAAGAAGACTTGCTCCTGTATTTCCATCAGGGCCCAGAGCTGGAGGCCACATCGCTGCTGCTGCTGCTGCTGGTTAGGGGAGGGGGGTGGTGGTGGTTAGGATGGGGCTTTGTACTGGGAGAAAAAAAAAAAGAGGCCAGGGCCCCGATCCACAGGTGCCCCCCCCCCCCCAGGTGTCAGCTCACCTTTTACCAGCCAGGTGGCGGTGGCGGCCGACACCGAGGCTTTCGCGTTCCCCACCCCCAGACCCAGCAAGACGGCCTGGGTGGCCAGGGAGCCCGAGAGGCTGGAAGCAAAGGCCTGGAGAAAAAGAGGGGGTGGTGGTGGAGGTGGTGGTGAGGGTTTGCAGGGAAGGAGGGGGGGCGAGGGTCTGGGGCGGCCAGGGAGGGGGGACGAGGGTCTGGGGCGGCCAGGGAGGG